GTGGTCCTTAATCACAGTTCACATTGGCAATCACAATCACAATCACAATCACGTAAAACTGTGAAGCAAAATAAAACAATAACAATCTTAAGTACACAAATACAATAACATATTATTTTGAATGAGATAGTGCGGTAAAACGCCATCAACGTCTAATACAAGTGTGAACGAATTGGGGTCATAGGTCAGACCAACACAACACGACCATTTTATACCACTCGGGTTCACGATCAGAAAACTCTCGATTTCTCTTGCAAAAGACTTCAAAATTACACAAAATCATATCGACTGAAATCGGTGTATGTTCAAAAAACTATAAAATCATACCTCGTTTCCGGGTCACAGCTAATAGTCATGAAAAACTAGAGAAAGTGGACGCACATTACAACTGCGTCATAACTATTTAATCTTCGCTGGAGACCTTCAACCCCAGAGGGCGCTATGCACCAGAAGGTAAAACAGCACTTAAACAGCGCCAATGCGCAAAACAAATAGACATCACTCCGCAGGAGTTACAGCAGTTATGACACGGAAAATCAAACCCGTTCAAGCCAGATATAGTATTGAAATATTCACCAAGAATACAAGATGAACGGAAATGTTAGTAAACTCCTTTCAGTGAAATTAGTCTTTAATGTTTCTTTCTCTACTATATTCGTTAACAAGTCGTTTTTTCCTCCAAGTTTTGGTGTATCACGTGTGCCATTTCACTACTATAACATTACCTTGCAAAACATATAAAATGGTTCGTATTTACGTTTTTACTGAAGTCTGACATTAACAAATAGTTCGGATGTCACATACGTTTTTTTCCACTTTTTAGCTCCGCTGTCGACTTTGTCGAGCGGAGCTTATCATATGAGTGATTGTCCATCGTTTGTGTCAATGTTTTACTTTTTCGACTTCTTCTTAAAAACTACAAGCCTGAATGCTTTGATACTTGATGTATATGTACCTTGGGTAGACCTCTCTCAGATTTGTTCATTTCATGATCATATCTTCAATTCTCTAATTTTAAAAACGACAAGTCCAATTGCTTTGATATTATTACATATATAGGCACTACATGTGGACCTCTCTCAGATTTGCTCATTTTGTGATGATATATTTAATTCTCTAATTTTGGTGAATATTTTTGTCATTTTTGGTAAAAAGTGATATTTTCGACTTCTTGTTAAAAACGACAAGTCCAATTGCTTTGATATTATTACATATATAGGTACTACATGTGGACCTCTTTCAGATTTGTTCATTTTGTAATGATATCTTCAATTATCTAATTTTGGTGAATATTTTTGTCATTTTTGGTAAAAAGTGATATTTTCTTCTTGTTAAAAACCACAATCATTTATGGTGAAAAATGATATTTTTGAATTCTTGCTGAAAACAGCAAGTCCCATTGCATTGATACTATGCATATTGTTTATTTTCTAATGATATCTTCTGCTGTTTAATTGAAATGTGCATTGCTAACAGTGGAGCTATCTCAACCGAGAGGCTGCTTGTTGTAGTTTGGTTTTAAATAAAACAACAGCGGAAAAATGGTCGTGTGTAATGAGGTGATTGACCACAAAATTGAAGGCTGCCTGTGGCAGAGGTACTATGCGTAAAGCGCAAAGACCTATGGGAAGGAGATTGACTTTTAACATGGCTGAGCCATTTCCACCAACCAAATCTCAGGATGCCCATGCTATCCTCCAATCAGATTTTAGGATGCCCATGCTATCCACCAATCAGATTTCAAGATGCCCATGCTATCCACCAATCAGATCTCAGGATGCCCATACTACTGTATAATCAACAAGTTTGATTGCTTTGATATATAGGTACATATAGGTACCTCAAGTGGATCTATATTCAACTTGTAGATTAGAGAGAATTTGAAAAGTGAACATTGTCATTTGAAACATTATTTATTCTGTTAATTTTTTACTCTCACGTGGGAAGCACACAATGGGAGTCTTTGCAGTTAGTTTGTCTGTATGTATGTGTGTGTATGTGTGTCCGCCTGTTCCACTGCTATCTCAAGAACCATACATCGGTTTTTGATGGAACTTGGTGCATAGATACTCTGGGCCAATGCACAGATTTGTTTAGGTTTTGGTAAAAATCCATGCATATTAATTATCTAATTTGCATGATAATTAGCTAATTTTTAGCTGTTTCATGACTGCTCCTCTGATATCTAACAAATCACTCATTGGATTTTGATGAAACTTGGTACATAGATGCTCTGAACTTAAGCGCAGATTTGATTAGTTTTTGGTGAAAATCTGTGCAAAATAATTACCTAATTTGCATAACGATTAGTCAATTTTCTTTTTTTTCCCACTGATACCTCAAGTACTAATTATCACATTTCAATGAAACTTTGTACATAGATGTCAAAGGACACTGCACAAACCTGATAGCTTTTAGGGGAATATCAGTACATATTAATTACCTAATTTGCATAATTAATTAATTTTCAGCTTTTGATATTTCAATTAATAAGCATTACATTTCAATGGAACTTGGTACATAGATACTCAAAGACTATACAGAGACTGATTAGTTTCAGGATAAATAATTGTACATATTAATTACCTAATTTGCATAATTAATTAGTTTGCAGCTTTTTCACTGATATCTCAAGTATTAATAATCACATTTCAATGAATCTAGAACTATGCAAGGACCCAATTAGTTTTCGGTAAATATTTATCTCAAGTACAAGTAATTTCGAATTATTTTTAATGTGTCTCCAATACTCCAATATAAAAGCCAGTTATGACAAGGCACGATGATATTGTCATCACTCGGTGTCTAGACTATAACCTATACATATTGTACTTCAAAGGTGAGAGGACACGTACAAGGCGATGTAATAACGATACAAGCTCCAATAGCAAACAATCTTGATGAAGGCTATCAACATATGATGTGTGTTCCCGATGAAATGTCCAAGAATTACGATGGAATTAAACCTGCCAAAACTGAGATGCAAGTGGTTGAGAGAGGTTACTATGATGATGAGCCCGCTACCAAAGTATTATTAACTCCTCATACAGGTATGTGAGATATGAAGTGACATGCAATTCACCGTATCTTGGTTATGAAAATGATCAGTTTCAATTCAGAATGAAACACGAATACTGTACACCGTTTAATTTTTTTGCTAGGAATTCTCACAAGACTTTATGACTATATTTTAAGAAATTTCCAGACTCGTCGTTTCTAAGTACCCCAGAAAAAATTTCACTGCTACAAAATTTCTCCATTTTCACTGACCTCACAAAAATTCATCTCTCATAAAATTTATAACGATTTACAGTAGTTCTGTAGCACAATATTAAGAAATTTATGAGAAATGTAGTTCTATATTAAAGTCTTACAATCGTCATCTCGTGCATTTAAATTTTATGTAAACAATGTTTTACATAACATTGTGTTGTTTATGTTGCATGAGATTTGAAGCTTTGACGGGCCATCCCAATTCTCACAAGCATCGATATGATTGTTTTAAATCTGTTTATATTTAGGACGAAGACATCAACTTCGAGTGCACTGCTCCCATATTGGTCATACCATTGTTGGTGACTATACGTACAGTTTACGCAAGGACACCAAACCATACAGAATGATGTTACATGCATACAGACTTGTTATCCCAATTCCTGATTGTCATCTTGATGTAGTGGCACCAGATACCTTCTTAACTGAAATTGATGTCAAATGGAAACCAACTGAGAAAATCTTGTCCATGACTGCCATCCAGTGACCAACTGTTAATTCCTTTTCTGCTTGAAACATTTGTTCAGTCAACAATTTTAAAACATATATATATATCTGTATATAATATAGATCTTTGGTGCCTGTCACCATACCGGTATATGAATATGACCTTTATCAATTCATTTTTGACCCTGTTCATTACCAATATAATAATTTAATGATCTCACTGCAACCATCGCCATTCACTGCCTATTAATATATTTTGACTAAATAGCCAACAGGAAATTTGAATATTATAGTTGTGTTTGGTCTGTATTTTTATAGAGAATTGAATGTTTAATGATGAGTTATTATATTATATTGGTTACAAATACAATAAAATTGTTATAAAGTGAGATCTTCTTTACCCAGTTTAGAAATTGTCTGAAATACATGAATGTCCATGATTATTACCGGTAGTAAGCGTCCATTCATCCATATGTATCCAGCATAATCTCACTAATGCTTGGACCTAACAAGTTCAAACTTCTCACGTACATCAGACATTATAGAGAGTATTTTCGCAAGCTATAATCAATTGTTTTTATTTTCGTAATAATGTAATTTACATAAATATAAAGTAGATGTGGGCAAGGTGTAAAATATAATCAGCTATTTTATTTCTTATTCTTTGTAAGTGTATAAAACATTTTCCACATTAAATGCCGTAATTCGTACTCAATTTCCAATTTTGATTCTTAAACACAAACAGTGCAATTCAGTCTCCAGTCTCCAATGTAGAACCACAGAACCCATAGCAACATATCCCGTCGCAGACAGATTGTGCCGGTGTTGGCTTGGAGGAAGCGCCTAACCGACCCCTGGACTCTCCAGGTGGTGATACACGGATACTTCTTCGATCTCCACTCTCTTTTCAACAGCCCCCCCCCCCCCCAGTTGGGAGCGCTGCCAGGGGATTCCTACATGCAGAAGCAAACCGATAGGAAGTAGATAATTTGCTTACAAGGGTGCTATACACAGGATAGGGGACCAGGCGATAAGTCTGGGTTTCTACTCATACCTGTTTGTAGTTCCAAAGGCTACAGGTGGCTGGCGTCCAGTTCTGGATTTAAGCAGACTAAATCAGTATGTGCTTCTCGAGCGATTTCACATTGAAACACCAAGCACTGTTTTACTCTCCGTGCAACCATTTAGACTGCTTTACGTGTTCACCAAAGTGTTGAAACAGGTAGTGCTGCTGCTGCTGCACCAGGCGTTGGTACACAACCAAAACAAGGGGTTGTTGGCCGAGCAAGTAAGGCTAACACAGGATTTACTACACCAGTTGGGCTTCCTAGTAAATCAAAAAAAGTCCCATCCACACCCAACACAGAAGTTGGTGTTTCTGGGCATGGAGTATGTCACAGAGGCGAACTTGGTACGGCCATCGCAGACTCGTTTCCTGGCACTAAGCAACCTAGCCGAATGTCTAGTCAGCATTCCCTCTGTGTCTCTTCGAGAGCTGATACGTATCATCAGAATGATAGCGTTAGTTCGCAGGGTAGTTCCCCAAGCTGCCTTACACAGCTGCCCGGTGATGCACACTTTGTTGCAGCACTGGTCTCACCTACGGGAACTGTGGAGGCGAGTCACTCTCTTGGACCAAGCGAGAGACACCTTGCCCTGCCAACCTCAGGCAGGGGGTCTTCCTGGACCCACTCGCCACGGCTATGGCTATGACTATTACAGATGCCTCCCTCACAGGTTGGGGAGTGCACATATTGGACGAACAAGCCCAAGGATTATGGCCCCTCCACAGAGTCTTGCTTTGCATGGACAACACAGCGGTGGTCAACAAGGAGGGGGGACCAGATCCCATTGCTGTCAGTTCTGGCGGAGCAAATTCTCCTTTGGTGCCTGGAATACAATGTGGTGCTAACCGCACACCACCTTTCAGTAGTGCAAAACAGACAAGCAGACACCCTCTCGCGGTGACTCTGTTCCCAGAACACAAAGTGGCAGATACCCCAATGGGTAGCCTCCAGGCTGTATTGGCTGTGGACGACTTTATGGACAATCAAGTTGTGCTAAAAATGCGAATCAGGTTTCTCACCAAGAACCAAATCCCAGGATATGATCCACAGCTGATCGCCATCCCCTGTCTCGCCAACAATGTCGATCCAGAGGATCAAGAGGAGTCGCTTCTTTACCCGGTTTGAGCATTGAATTACTATGAGAACTGTACTAGGGAGTCAAGGCATATGTTTACAAAATGTATGTGTTATGGCCAGGGTTATCAGGACAGACCAGCCAGACAGTGTTAGAGGTTACGATCATCTGGCAACCTCGACACAGGGTCTACAGAAACATCAAGTACGAGCACATTGAAAACGCAGTCCGAAAAGGGGGACTTATGGATTGACCCTTGTGCGTCCATGTGTCAGTGCGTTCATGTGTTCGTCTGGACCTGTATCTTAGACATGCCAGGACCAATCACATACAAACTTCACACATACATCATACATAATATTATACATATGCCCATCAATTTGTTTCACTATCTGATTTAAAATGGCCGACTTAATGACTGTAGTTCTAGTGCTATATCTCTGTCATGCTATGACTGATTATGTTAAAATTTTATATATTTATTATACACCATGACATAGATATATTTGTTTGACTATCTGAATCAAAATGGCCAAATTGCAGCCATTTTGGGGCTAAAAAAATTATCAAAAATCAAGCATTTTAGGATCCCTGATTCATGTCATTTTATTTTTCAGATCGGATTCACAATGGCTGCCTAGCGGCCATTTTGTACTAATGAATGTGCTTCTCAGGCCATATCTCTGACATGCTTTGATTATGTTCAAATTTTATATATTCGTTATACATCATGTTATAGATATATAAATGTATTCAAAATGGCTGACTGGCGGCCATTTTGTTTTAATAAATACGGTTCTAGAGCAATATCTCTCAATATGGACAAGTACTGAAGATCAGATACAAGATAACTGAATGTCAATCATTTTAATGTTAAAAAATCATCATAATAAAGCATTAGCTTCTGGATCCATACTTCTGACATGTTTATGTTCCAACTATATTACTATAAACAAAACTATATATCTTAAATTTAACAGGGACTGTGTCATGCGTATGTGACACTCCTGTCGACGCCAGGAGCCTGGCCCATGGATGCTTTGTCGATACTGTGGTCCTACATGGACGGATATGACTTTCCTCTCTTCCCACTAATTCATCGGGTAGTGGAGAACCAGACGGCGCACTACCACTACCAAGCCCAGTGGTGTTCCACTTACATGCATGGAGGCTCTCAGTAGACTCGCACAGACGGAAGGTTTATCTGAGCGGGCTGCCAACATCCTGGCCATGGCAAATAGGGATTCCACCAATGCAGCCTATGACTCAAAGTGGTGGGCGTACATTAGTTGGTGTAGTGGAAGGGAGATTGATTCCTCTGTTGGCCAGGTGCCTGATTTGTTTGTCCATTTGTTTGACGAGTTGGGCTTGTCCTATGCAGCAATCAGTGGCTGTAGGTAAGCCTTGTCACCCACCATCGAGGATTGTTTGGGGACAAGACTAGCCGATTGTCCCATTATTAGGAGACTGTTTACTGCTTTCCATATGATGATATGCTTGTCATTTGTGCTATACAGAAACATATGTGTCTAAGACAAACCCTGATAGTGACATCAACTTGATTGGATGCCAATCCTTCTAAGAAACACTGCAAATATCTGGAAATCGAGCAGGAAACTGGGTTCTAGCACTAAAATTAATACTGAGAGAGAGAAGCAATTTGAGCTGATTGGAGAAACTCTCATTGTCAGGTTCTTCTAAATTCTAAAAGATACGCTGCAACAAACAGCATGTGATAAATTATAAAAATATAAGTGTATAAGTAAGTGAACGTGATAAGACTGGAACTGAGTGAGGGTCACGGTTGGATAATTTTGCAGGCCGCATGGTAGCTAACATGCAAATTCTTGATTATTCTGCATGAGGACTGGTTCAAACATTTGGCCTGCTACTGAGCATGACAAACAATTACGAACTTTTACATAAACAGCATTGGCAGATAATAAGGCAGCAAATATTTGGTGGGTCAGTGATTCGCAAAGTTTGTGCAGCCCCTCGATTGGAGCATAGTAATGTGTTAATACTGTCTGTCTATCGCTGATTGTTGCTAATTCCTAAGGTCTTTGGAAGTACAAAGCGTGTCATAAAGGTGGTAGGTGAATTCTGCATAATAATACTGCTATGTTTTTGCCTCCACAGAACCAACCTTTTTAAAGGGACACACCAAATTACTGGTGATAAGCGTTATTTTCCAACACTGACTGTTCAAAAGCTATGCTAAATCAATCAAGCCATGCTAAACTCAATAGAATGACTTTCATCTCAAGCAATGTTTTCATGCTATCTTGATACCGGGGGGGGGGGCAATACATAGAACTTGCCTAATGGGGATGTGCCCCTCAAATGGGTCTCGTTTTTTAGATTTTAGGTCTTATTTCTGGCCAAGACAGGTATAAATATCCGTAATATTTTTCCAAGTTGGTATACTTATTGGTCCGTATATGAGCGAATATCTCCACCTCAGATGCATATATACATCAACCCAGAAATTAAACAAGGCAATCAGCATTTAAACAGAGATTCAACACGGAATAGAAAAGGGCGCACATTCCTCAGTGAAACCTGAGTTTGCGTAATGGCAGACACCGGCGTTGTTAGTCTTTTGGAAAAGATTTTGGGTTTGGAATAAACAGTGATGACAGAAATGGTACTTTGGTATAAATATGGGTATAGATTTTGCCAGTATCCATCTATGAAAATGGTCCCATTTTTGAGCACTCAGGGGTACCTCCCTACCCATCTATGTATCAACTACCCCCAATACAGAGATTAGATGGACTCCATTTTTACTGCTGTCATCCAGAAATCTGTATAGTGACCACCTCTTTTTTCGGCTAATTTAGAGCTAGCACAGACTTAATCCAAGTACTGTCCTTTGGCTAACTCTTGGAGCCCACTCTGAGTCTGGACAAAGTTCCTGTTCATCAGCACTTTCCTGGGATGGAGAATCAACCCATATGCAGCCAAAGGCAACTGAACCTATTCAACACATCTTTTATTGCGTAATTGGGACATATTTTTTTAACTTTTAGGATTTTGTTTCAAGCTAACATTTGTAAATGCATTCGACGAGAAACCTAAATTATCATAGCTTAATTTGAAAGATGAACCTGGGTCCTTTAATTGCACACGGGAATGTTTATATGATATTTGCATAAATAATTGTACAACTGAAAAGAATTAATTCAATAAAAACAAAACTAATCACACATGTGGGGCTTTAATAAACTTTATTGAACATAGCCACTAACAAGTACAAAATCACTTCAGTTCAAACCATCCTTCATGCATTTGATTTTTTCACTCTCAAAGCGCCAACCTGTTTTAGTATGCAATCTTTCAAATTATAATATACGTATTATACTTAGTTCTTCAAAATTAAATTATGATTAGGCCATTATGTATAGGAATTGGTAGGCACTGAAGTGGTAGATGAATGTGTGTTCAAAGGTCTATCTGAGGTTTGTTTGCTAACAATATAAGAGATACATTCATTTGGTTAGAGAACATCAATAATGTATTATGAGCTTTTTACGTACACAGCTCTAATTACAACACCACTTAATAATAGATACACAGATATGCCAGAATATCTTTGAGACCTGTGGTAATGGCACAGAGAACCTGTTCACAATCAGCGTCTTTCAAGTAATCAATGTAATCAACTAAGTAGCATCTGAGGGCAAAGAGTTGTGCCCGCCACATATCGATCACACTGATTAAACGCAGCAATACCATCTTCAGGTAATACATGAGCATACTACATTGGTCTTCATCCTCAGAACAGTTGAAGTCTGGTCCAGTACCAGGTGCATCATTGTCATCAATGCAATCGCAGGGACAGATTCCATCTGAAAGAAGATTAGAATTCTTTAAATGTCACTCATTATGGTTATTACATATCTTAAAACAACACTGACTTTGTATCTTTATCTTTGAAACCTCTTTAAACCAAACATTCTAAAATGTAGCATGCTTTGCACATTTAAACATGGCAAAGTCTACATGAATATATTTTACAGACCATTGAGAATTTTTTAGCATTCTATCATTAGTCATTCAAAGTTCTGTGAACCACTGAGTAGTATTCACAAGCATTCATAATAGAGCTATATTTGTATTACAAAACTGATTCTCAATATCAAATGTGGATCGATCTAAACATGTAGGGCACAACAGAAGAGGTATGGACAACAGAAGGGTGATTATAGATGTTTTACACATTAATTTCATAACTTGACTGTCCACCAAATTTTTGATTTACAAGCTACCCCCAGCAGCAGGGCAATGTATCCTGTGAAGATAACTCATGCACTGAGCTAAGATAAGTATGCACTGATCAAGCAAAATTTAAAGACAGCTTAGGGAATTTGCACTAGGTTGGCTAATACATCTTCTGTTGAAGACATAAATCTACAGGAAACCCCTGTGCTGAAAAATTAAATTTATGCAATGCGAGTTTTGAAAAAGATACTTCTTAGTGCAAGTAATATAATGGGTTATGTGGTCGTTCCATGTAGCTTCTCATTTTTGTTATTCCAAGACCGAAAAACTATTGGAAGTTGCTTGTAATTGGGTGTATTTATTCTAGACTACATATTCTAATGAGCCACTGTAAGCTTATGACCTAGAAGCCTATAATTGCTACTGTTATATTCTGTTCTCATAACTGGTCTCATAACGCTGGAGAGAAATAGCAATACTTCATATAAATGGTGGCAAATTGAAAAATGATGGACCATTCAAATTCCTGGGAAAGGCTTGGACGATGGGGTGTTAGATGGTTTTTTGTTCAATGAAGTTTTTTCAACCCCACCCCTAGATTTCAAATGATTCGTTTCTAAGAACATATATTTACCGAAGCATTCGTCAGGCTCTCCACTATCACTTCCAGAACTGCTTCCACTTTTACTCCTGGATTTAGATTTTGACCCACTGCCACTCTCACTACTTCCTGAGGAGGACTTGCTGCTGCTGCTGCTGCTACTTTTTGATTTTTCGTCGCTAGACTTGTCACTGCCGCTCCCACTACTTTCTGATTTTTCGTCGCTGGTCTTGTTACTGCTGCTCCCACTACTGCTTGATTTTTCGTCGCTAGACTTGTCACTGCCGCTCCCTTTACTTTCTGATTTTTCGTCGCTAGACTTGTCACTGCCGCTCCCTTTACTTTCTGATTTTTCGTCGCTAGACTTTTCACTGCCGCTCCCTTTACTTTCTGATTTTTCGTCGCTAGACTTGTCACTGCCGCTCCCTTTACTTTCTGATTTTTCGTCGCTAGACTTGTCACTGCCGCTTCCTTTACTTCCTGATTGTTCGTTGCTGGGCGATCCACTACTGCTCTCACCATCTGTATGTTTTCTTACTCTCTGTATTTGATGATATGGAAAGTAAGAGAAACCTTATTATTATTATTATTATTATTATTATTACTATAAACTTCCCGGTGTCCTGTGGTGTAAGATGTACTGGCTTCAATTTTAAAGGGCGGCATGTACGACATTTGTGTTGATACATCCCATAATTCAATGCGCTCTTATAATGGAAATCACAAGTATGAGGTTTGACCTGGGCGCGACTTGCACTGAATACCGCCGATGACTTCTTTGATACCTTCCAATCACCTAAAAAATACCTAATTAGAGCTTGGTAATGTCTCAGTTTGTACTCGTTGATCTGTCCAACAGTCAAAGTCGCCATCTTTATTTATATCAAAGTTCATTCATTCATCACAGGGCAAAGAAAGAGAATAATAAACCCAAAAATAAAAAATAGTTTGATAACGATGTTAACTCAATGCGTAAAAAATTAATTCATTGCTCACGCTTACTTGACAAATTTCCAAGAAATAACCGTATAAGACAAGAAAGATACAGCATCAACAAAAAGTATAAAAAATGAATTAAAATTAAAAAAAAGAGAATATAAAGATAAGCTGTGTGACAAAATTATGGCATTCAAACAAACAAATCCTAAATTATTCTGGAAACTGTTAGAGGAACTTGGAAATGTTGACAAAATAAATAGTAACAATGACAACATTATGTAAATGATTAGTTAGATCACTTTAAAAGTCTAAACAGTGAATCTAATGTTGATGAGAGTAGTTTTACCCATACAGTTAGGAATAGTGATGAAGTACTAAAGCATATTAAATAGGTAAAACCTCAGGTAATGACATAATTTCAAATGAAATGTTAAAACATGTTGCACCATATCTCATCAATTCAATTGCCAAATTATTTAGTTTAGTTTTAAAGTCAGGCAAATTTCCTGCATTATGGAGCTGCAGTTTAATTATCCCTATTTTTAAATCAGGAGGCCGAGCGGATTGCAATAATTATAGAGGCATTGCCATCTCCAGCTGTTTATCCAAACTTTATACCATGATATTAAACAGCAGGTTAACAAACTATCTGTGTGAAAACAATCAAAACAGGGATAACCAGTTTGGCTTTAACACAAATCATAGTACAACAGAAAACATCTATATTTTGAGGTCCTTGATTACAAAATATGTAAACAACAAACGTAAAAAGACAAAAAAATATTTATTTGCATGCTTTATTGACTATTCCAAAGCATTTGACTCGGTTTGGCATGAGGGCTTACTATATAACTATTGCATATATGCATTTGGGGGAACTTCTATAATTCGATTAAATTAATCTAGGGGAATAGGGGAAATACACCATACTTGGATTCTAATAGAGGTGTAAAACAAGGCTACAACTTAAGTCCCCATATTTATGTCAATGGTGTGAAATTTAATTGTATTTTATATGCAGATGATCTTCTGTTGATATCAACTAGTCATGTTGGTCTACAGAAGGGCATTGATGCCATTCAAATTCACTGCCAGAAATGGAAATTAAATGGTTAACATAAACAAATCTAAAATTATAGTCTTCAGCAGCACTGGTAAAAACTAGAAGACAAATTTCAATTCTACATTAATGGAACACAACTTGAATGTGTGAATTTTTATAACTACCTTGGCATCACTTTTCAATCAAATGGGAAATTCAGTGCAGCCAAGGTTATATGAAAAAGCTCACAAAGCATTATTTAAAATGTATAAAATGCTCTGAGATTCAAAAGAATGCCATTCAGTGAGTCTAGTCTGTAAACTGTTTGATTCTCTTATGAAACCAGTTATTCTTTATGGGTCTGAGGTTTGGAGTAATTTTCGGACTAATCTATTTAGTAATGGAACTGGCAATAGCAAATCAGAGATTGATAATATTGTGTTTGTATCAAAGCTATTCTCTTACAAAATATTACCGGGAAAACTTCATATAAAGTTTTGTAAGAGAGTTTTGCGAGTACATAGGAAGGCATCGAATATTGCTTGTAGAGGTGAACTAGGTCGTTTCCCACTTGTGATTGATGTTTCTACTACTGTTATAACATGTTATCAAAGGTTGTCATGTAAGAAAACAAACAACATAATTATCGAAGCTGCATTTAAAGAAAGTAGTGGGTTTAAATACGATCCTTGGTATAAATATTTGTCCAAAAACTTCTACAAATTACAAATATGACAAACAAGGATACTAATCAGGCATTTTTTTGCAATCTGTTTAAAGAAAGCTTAAACCAAATTTACTCAGCAAAAGTGGAAAGTCAGTTGAACAAATCTTGTCACAATAAACTAAGTACATATAAAATATTAAAAAATAATTATAAATTCGAAAAATAGCTGGATGGTGTAAAAAACAAAAAACACAGAGTAGCATTATCCAAATTCCGTATTTCAGCCCACTTCTTGTCAATTGAAACAGGCCGCCACAGGGGAATAAAAATGACAGGGTATGTAACAAGTGTGACTCTAATTATGTGGGCGATGAAAAACATTACTTTTTCATTGTGAACATAACAGTTTTTTCAGAACACAGGAAAACAATCCTCTATGCACTATTTATATACTCACCTGATTATCAAACCTTACCAAATGGAGAATTGTTTATCAATGTTTTCTCAAGTGTATTCAAATATGTTTGTAGTATTTTAGCTAATTTTGTATTTCAGATTCTAAAATTGTTTTTTATATTAGACTTTACTCAAGCATTGTTTTTGTGTACGTTCCAAATAAAATATCCTATCCTATATGAGACCCATATATCTCGGGCATGCGTGTTGCTAGGCAAGGTCAACTCAATCTCGCCCATCAGCAAATCATTTTATAATTTTCATTATCTGTTGACACTGATCACTCTGATGCTAGGATGCTTCACGATGCCACTGCTTAAAATAACCCCATATGCTCAACAACACACCGAAACTGTCAGGTTGTTCTAAAGTTTGCAATGTGCATAGGAACAGCCAAAAACTTATTTACTGAATACCTTCACGCTAAATGTATCTCACCACCGTCCCTCGATGTTGAGGGACGGTGATCTCACCTTACAATTCTGGGATTAAAAAGCTCGGACATAACTGATTCTACTCAGCTTGAGTGTGGGCACAAAGTTGCTATTTGATTTTTTTATATCTTTTCTCATTACCGAGAAATGTCATCTCAAAGTTTGGGTAACTTTTCACCAGTAACGCATTTTAAACTCTCCTGCGATTTTTTTGGGATGGGTCGATTTGCTTCATACTTGGCAGGCAGGTCACGAATCGAAAAAAAAATCGTGGACCACCGCTGCGATGGCAACAGCCAAAAACGAACTGTTGAATAATTTCGCCCCAAATGTATTAGCTCCTACAAGTCTTGTAATGGTTAAATTGCACACCAACAAGAGATCACCTGCGCCGACATCGTTACACTATATCAGTGTAATCCCAACGAAATTTTGAACTGGAAGAACGGTTATTGTTAGATATACTAGTTAACCATTGACTTCTCTTTGATGCGTGTCCAACCACTATGACGTCATCGCTTATATTGCTAAGAAATGAAAGCGATAGTTTGTTTTATTGACAGATTTGCCGTCTGTGATTTGAAATTTACCATGGTATTTTGTACCCAAAAAACTCTGTCAGCGAATGTTTTAAAATGTTAGTATTCGTTACTACGTTAATATTTGGGTATTTTAATGTGGAGCTGCAATTATCATAACTAATTTCATTCGTAACTTCAGAAAATAACCCTTTTTTGGTAGCGACGTCAATCATTTTATCTGCGTTTGTCATAATAGTTCGAGAAAATTACTGAATATTCGGAAGGAATTATATTTTAGTACAACGCATTGTTAAATTAGTATTTATAGATTACATTGTTATAATTTCTGTGAGTTAAATACTAAGTTGCTGTAGAAAATTTACAGGGCGATCGAAAGTCTGCGTCTGCTGATGTCACAGGGCCATGAGAAATGTGAAATTGCGAACTAATTATTCGAAAAATAAAGAGGTTCCTAGTGATCTTTAAAATGAAATCAAATTGACAGATGATGAGATACATCTATTATAGGGTATAAAGTGACAATTCATGTTCATGGAACCGATGAGGAACAAGAGCCGTTGCTCCATTCAGTAAAACACCCTCCATCATAAACCCGAATAATAAACTGAAAAAAACGAGAACGTCCTATATGACGCTCGGCGTAAATAAACAATAACAACAACAATTACCTGATGATCTTGGAAGTTTCTGTCCCCATCTATAATAACTATCAGCATTAGGAGGAACGTCGCCACCATCAGAATACGAAACGTCGTACGCTCCATGTTTAGCCGAGTAATGATCGACACTGTAGGGGTAATTTTGAAATCAATATTACAAATGTTTGTTCGTTTATTACGATTATTACATTGGTACTTGCGAGGGCATTTTATGAGTGGGGTCCGGGGGAAGCCATTCATTGCGACAATCAAGCTATCTCAATCATTGAATGGTGATACACTACCTGGACGTAAGATCTCTCAGCAGCACTGAGGTTTAAACTGTTCAAAGACAATGGCGTAATGTTTATCCATATATAATATTTAGTTATGTATCACTGTGATCAAAGATAATACTACACAGCGAAGTTGGCTTAATAATATCTCTTTTTACTGTATTTCGGGTTTGAATTTGGAAATATTCTATAATTAGTGTGTTATAGGTCGTGAATATCATATGTGTGTCACATTTCAAAAGTATAAAACAAAAACAAATCCAAGACAATTGGGCAACAATTAGTTTATATATTTATGGATGATTAAATCAATTAAACGTAAACGTAACGATCACCGTGGAATTGTCATTCATTTAGATAGTAAATCATAATATTGTATCAATCCCAGTGCTAAATGTTTAGCATTCTATTTTCCTAGGATTCATTTAGAAATTGTCAGTCAAATGTCCAGACATGAAAACAACAAAATGTACATTATTTGTTAATTTTAGAAGAGAAGAAAGCACCCTACTCACCTCCAAGCTAGTCGATGAAGAGAACAAACGATGTGATGACAGTTGGGAAGTAGTATGAACAATTTATACCGACCACGCACATATTTGTAGAAATCATTTCTATTAATTAAATTGCAGTAATTGGACTCCAGGCCGTATGGAGAGCTCCCGTGCCCTCGAATCACTGACGTACACGTCGGGTAAGCATGTATGTGCAATGTTGCCACGTCAGAGCACAAACTTACGTGACGCGCCTTCGTGGAAAAAGGTGTTTAAAAAATCATTGATACTATGATAGAATATATAAAAACTATCGTAACTTGATGAGTCTCGGATTTCAACTTTATATATATTTTATAATAATATGTTTTGGAAGGTGTAATGACGTTTTGGTGCAAAATAAATACGTTTTAAAGTTCAGCGATACAGCGATAGAAAACAAAGATTATCAAAAGGTGCGATCGGAAAAATCCCAAATCTGTTTATGTGTCCATGTTCGCCATGTTCGCTTGACATTCAGTGCCCCGATCCTTACTTGATGGACTGAATGATACATGTATCGGCAGTTTAGCTGGGTTCAACTTATCCTGGCCATGCCACGTTGCACTTCAGTTGCGTCGTTAGTCAATTCAGTGCACTTCTGTATCAGTATACTTTTCACAAATTAGTGTTTGTATTTATTTATTTATTTATTTATTTATTTATTTATTTATTTATTTATTTATTTATTTATTTATTTATTTATTTATTTATTTATTTATTTATTTATTTATTTATTTATTTATTGTTTTGTCTCAGTTATTCCCGCTCATTGACTGCAACGTCGGTTTTATTGGATATGAAATTGAGCAAATGAATCCTGAGTTAGTTTAAAAATAATCTCGAGCACGGAAAACAATCCTATGATGTACTTGTATCACAGTGTATTTGCATGCCTGAATCTATACCTGGTTAGAAAATGTTACAAAGACAAAAATAAAATTGCGTTCGGACACGATTTTTGTGTGCGTGACTTAATTTCGATTATTGTTTTACCACTCGGGTCAAACCATATGACAGGAAAACAAATGCGTTCTGTAATTAAAATTTAGATGATGAGATAGCTGGACTGTCACGCCACGGTGATGAGTGTCCATATGTTGTATCCATGGCAACTTCTTAAGCCACGTCACCTTCA